AAATTGTTAATATAAATGATAATGCTGATAATGCTTGGTACACCTGGTAGCCCATTTGATCCTCATTGTGCATAGGTAGGTTTTCCTTTTGAACTATTTAAAAATGTAATATGATGCAGTCGTGTATTCTGGTTCATCATAGTTTGTTCCGTGATTCATTTTCCACAGCTGGCTGACGTCTACGGGAATGTGTTCAGTATCCGTCTCGGTGTTGACAAAATGGTGTTTGTGTCTGGATACAAGATGGTGAAGGAAGCCATAGTGACACAAGCCGACAACTTTGTGGATACACTGCAATGGCCGAAAGGGTGTACTTAGGAGGCACAGGTGTGCAAATCTCTCTCTCTCTTTCTACTCGAGAGATCTGTTACACACACCTGCATACAAGTCCAGAATGTATTTTTATATGCCTTTACTTTTTTTGGGGCCTTATTTTTCTGAATACCTATAACACACAAAGCACGTTGTGATGTCTTGAGAGGTCGGCATCAGCTTGTGAGGCGTGGGTGCACAAATGAAGACAACAAGCGGTTGTGTTCTAACTCAAAATAATATATTTAGATTCTTTAAACAAAAGGTAAACTTCATTCCAGCCGAAAGCCGCTACAAAAACCAAACATAAGTATCTTCCGTTTTCTTCGGGTTCGTTGTCTTTAATGTAAAATAAAACTCTTTTCCTCTTTGTGCGCTCCTGTCCTCCTCCTCTCTCCAAACATTTCCTTCTTTGTCCCCACACCAACCCCTCCCGGGTAATCAGTCACCTCTCTTCCAGCTGGGCCACCGCCTTGGCCCCGGCTGCCCTGCTGACTATGGTGAATTGTAGTTTGTTAGCCCGATCCCATGATGATGGGTTGTAGTCTTTGCTGCAGCCACCAGGAGGGGATGTATCTCCCGTTGATGACCCTCCCTCTCATGACGAGTTCAAGCTCCAGCCTTGTTTTTTTCACTTCAGAGTTGAAGAGAGGTCACCAGTGTTAACAGGCTGTTTCGTGTGCCTGTTCTTCCCCACATCTTCCTCCCCTCATCAGAACACCAGCAAACAGATTTTACAGGGAGGCCTTCTGAAACATATTCATCATGATTTTTCAAGCACTTTTTGATTGTATGGACTTTACTGGCTGGCTGTTGTTCAGTTTTGCAGTGTTACTTCTGACAAATGTGGTCAGAAACTGGAGGCCACACAGCTTTCCACCCGGACCCTTGGCGCTGCCTTTTCTAGGAAACATCTTCACAGGACTTGACTTCAAAACAATGGACAAGGTGAGGTGCACATAGTACCACTTCATTAGTAGAGTAGAGAAGGGTTAATCTTTAATATCCGAGGGGGATAACACACACCATTGCAACTCAAAAGTGCTTTCTAATCAACTGACAATTTGATATCACTTCATATTCATGTATTTTCTCCAACTATTAATAGTTTAGTATTATTATTATTATTATATACTACTATAAAGGCAGTAAGAAAAATAATGCAACTCTTCTTTAGATCAGTGATCGAAGGTTACAGTTATAAAAAGCTATAAAAGTGTCAGGACTTAAATAGAGTATGTGTGCTTTCAAAGTAGTATGAAACCATTTATAAAAGCTAAAAACATGCCAAATAATTAGTGAGAAACTGCAGGTCAATACATTGAAAATAAGTGCTAATTTATTTATAAGTGAAAAATCATGATAACGTATATCAAACGAGACAATCTGCATCACCACAGAGTAGCGGCAGTATTATGAGTATCAATAGCAGAGGGACTACTTTTCCAGCAGTGGTTGCAGCGTGACGTTCCCTCTAAGTTTTCCATGAAGTGTTTATGTAATCGTCTCATCTTCTTAAGCATTTCACGAGACAAAAACTTTCTATCCAAGTTAACATATTCAACGATTACATTCCCTCTCTTGAAAAGTTATTCGTTTTCTTAAATGCAGCTTGCTCAGGAGTACGGTCCAGTGTTCAGCTTGAGGAAAGGCAACGAGAGGATGGTGTTCATTTCGGGCCACAAGATGGTCAAAGAGGCTCTTGTTAACCAGCTGGACAGCTTCGTTGATCGACCTATTGTCCCTCTCTTCCACGAAACCTTCAAGGGGATTGGTGAGTATGAACAAGTCAGTGAGCGCGTGATTGTATGGTACCGGAAATGTCTTTCTCCAGGGTAAAACAACATCTCTTTATGCGGTGTTGAAGGATTGAACGAAATCATAGCTCAGTCAGCTAACTCTAGAGATAAATGTTGGCTTTGTAGAATAGTGATGATATTTCGTCTTTTCCACCAAATTCCCCCTCAGCACCAGATTAAGAAGTGACATATATGGTGCTCAGAAGTGATAGACTTCTAAAACCTGTTCATGGTTTGCCTTTACAATAATTTGAGATCATATTCCCACAGGCATAGCTCTGAGCAATGGTTACCTTTGGAAGCAGCAGAGGAAGTTTGCCACCACTCATCTGCGTTACTTTGGAGAGGGCCAGAGGTCGCTGGAAAAATACATCGAAGTGGAAACCAACTTCCTCTGTGAAGCTTTCAAAGAGGAACAAGGCAAGTAGCGATTCATCCGTTAGTACGCAGGATTTACATCCAAATATTGTTCATCATCACTTGAATTGCATTCATCATATTTCAAGGAGGACCATTTAACCCCCACTACATCATAACGACCGCAGTGGGTAACATCATATCGTCTGTGCTCTTCGGACATCGCTTTGAATACAGTGATCGAAGCTTTCGAAAGGTTCTGGAGTTGGACAATGAGGCCGTTGTGCTCACCGGCTCTCCTCTGGCTCAGGTACCTCCCTGATCTGTCTCAACTATCATGTTGTGATCACACAGCAAACTGTTGGTCTATAACTTGATCTGAGAGTTTGTCCCCATCAACAGCTGTATAATGCGTTTCCTGGCTTGATGAAGCACCTGCCAGGACCTCACCAGTCTATCCACAACAACTACAAGGAGATCCTGGCTTTCCTGAAAAAGCAAGTAGAGAAGCATCAGGAGGAGTGGAACCCTGAGGACCCTCGTGATTATATCGATGTGTACATAGCAGAGATGGAGAAGGTAAGATCCCTCCCTGGGATCCTGACAAAGGATAGGTTCACAATGTTTTCACATTTGTCTTAAAACAATCGCCAGGTGCCGATATAAAACTATAGATGCAGCTGCATCGGTCAGAACTACTGACGTGGTATGAACAGTAAGAAAGACTCTGAAAAGGAGTAAAACAACTATGAGACTCAAAATGACTACAAAGATACACATTACCACAAAGACACAAATGACCACAAGAGAAACAAAAACCACATGATGTGTCATGACTACAAAGAGACACAAAACAACAACAAAGGGGCTAAGCAACTGTAAAGTCTGTGTGTGTTGCTCCTATGTTGGAGAGGTGGTGGAGCCTTTTGCCCAGTCTCACAATCTGACCATGGTGATGGAGGACAAAGTCCCCAAAGGATGGGAAATATCGTTCCCATGGGATTCCCCAAAATGGCCAGTAAAGACACTACACTGGGAGGATATGTAATACCCAAAGTAAAGGACCATTTACCAGGCTCACCCAGATATCAATGACAAGCTGTGAAATGTTAAAGTTATTTATACACGACTGATCTCAACATCTCATGCTTGTTTTTTCCAGGGAACATCTATAACTACAATTCTTGCATCTGTGCTGTTTGATAAGAATGAGTGGGCAACTCCGGATATCTTCAATCCTGAGCATTTCTTGGATTCAGAGGGCCAGTTCCACAGAAGAGAGGCCTTCCTACCGTTTTCAGCAGGTTTGATCGATACACCTTCAGTGATACTGTATACTGCAGGGATGACATATTTTTGTGTGCCAACCCTGAAGTTAGCATAGCACAAAAAGCCAATGG